TTGTGTATTTGGGTTCTCTCTCTTTGTTTCCTGGGGAGTCTATCTAAGGGGTCATCAATCTTGTTTATCTTTTCAAGCACCAGCTCTTTCTTTCATTGATCATTTGAATTGTTTTTTTTTTTTTTTTGGTTCCCGTGTCAGTTATTTCTGCTCTGATCTTTTCTATTTTCTTTCTTCTACTTGCTCTAGGGTTTTCTTTTTGTTTACTTTCTAATTCTTTAAGTTGTGAGGTTAGACAGTCAATTAGAAGTTTTTCTTGTTTCTTGATGTAGGCTTGTTGTGCTATGAACTTCCCTCTCAGAACTGCTTTTGCTCCATCCCATAGATTTTGTGTTCTTGTGATTTCATTTTCATTGGTTTCCAGGAAGTTTTTAATTTCTTCCTTGATCTCCTCGGTGACCCATTCATTGTTTAATAACATGCTATATAGGGTCCATGTGTTCAAATGTCTTTGCATGTTCTTATTGCAATTGATTTCTAGTTTCATGCCATTGTGATCTGAGAAGATGCTTAATAGGATTTCAATCTTCTTGAACTTGTAGAGACTTAGTTTGTGCCCTAACATGTGGTCTATCTTTGGGAATGTCCTATGTGCACTTGAGAAGAATGTGAATTCTTCAGTTTTGGTGTGAAATTCTCAGTGTACATCTATTAAATCCATTTCATCTAGCACTTCATTTAGAGTCTGTGTTTCCTCGTAAATTTTTTGTCTAGATGATCTATCCAGTGATGTCAGCAGGGAGTTGAATTACTCTACTATGATTGTATTGCTGTTGATTTCTCTTTTGAAGTCCTCCAGAAAATTTTTAGTATATGTTGATGCTTCTATATTGGGTGCATATATGTTTACCAAGGTTATATCTTCCTGTTGGATAGATATTTTCAATATTATGTAGTGGCCTTGTTTGTCTCTAGTTATGGTATTTATTTTGAAATCTACTTTGTCAGATATGAGTATTGTTACCCCAGCTTCTTTTTTTCTTTCTGTTTGTTTGAAAGATTTTTTTCCATCCCTTCACTTTCAACCTATGTGAGTCTTTTGTTGTGAGGTGGGTCTCTTGTAAACAACATATATGTGAGTCATGCTTTCTTATCCAGTCAGCTACTCTGTGTCTTTTTATCAGAGTATTCAAAGCATTCACATTTAAGGTGATAATTTATATGTACTTATTTATTGCCATTTTTGTTTAGTGAGGTTCTATTTTCTTCCTATTTCTTCTACTAATTAGAGCAGAATTTCTTTTTCTTTTTCTTTTTTAACATATCTTGCAGTGCTGGTTTGGTGTTAATATATTTCCTTAGGCTTTTCTTTGTCTTGGAAGCTTTTTATATTACCTTCTATTTTGAATGATAGCCTTGCTGGGTAGAGTAGTCTTGGATTCAGATCCTGTTTTTCATAATCTTGATTATTTCATGCCACTCCCTTCTGGCCTGTAGTGTTTCATCTGAGAAGTCAGCTGATAGCCTTATGGGGTTTCCTTTTTAGCTAACCTGTGGTTTATCTCCTGCTGCCTTTAGGATTCTCTATTTGTCTTTAATTTTTGGCATTTCAATTACTATGTGTCTTGGTGTGGGCCTGTTTTGGTTCTTCTTACTTGGGGATCTCTGTGCTTCTTGAACTTGAATGTCTTCTTTCTTTACCAAGTTAGGAAAGTGTTCTGTCAGTATTTCTTCAAATATATTTTCTATCCCTTGCCCTTTTTCTTCCTCTTCAGGGACTCCTATGATTTGAATTTCAGTACCTTTCCATTTGTCCCACAGTTCTCTTAAGCTGTCTTCCTATTTTTTAATTATGTTTTTTTTTTTTTATTTTGGTTTTCTGATTGGTTGATTTTTTCTTTCCTGTCTTTAATTTACTGATCCGGTCCTCAGCTTCCTCTACTCTGCTGTTTAGACATTCCAATGTATTCTTTATTTCTGCTATGTCATTCTTCATTTCCACTTGGTTGGTTTTCAATGTTTCTATATCTATACTCATGGTGCTGATGTCCTTACTTATGCTGTTGAGCTTCCTCAAGATTATGGCTCTGAACTCTACCTCTGAAAATTTGCTTAACTGCATTTCACTTATTTCATCTTTGATAGAGTTCTCTTGTTCTTTCATTTGGGATTTGTTTCTTTGTTTCACCATTTTGGTTATCTCATTGGGTTTTGTAGCCTGCCAAATTTTCTCTGTGTGTGTTGGTGTTCTGCTGTTTGTGGCTTCCTCTACTGGGTTTAGATGAACCTGCGTGGGCCCCTGTTAAACACCACTGTCAAGTCTTACTTTCCTGGTGAGATTTGCTCGCCCCAGAAAGGTTTAGTTATTCTTCAGCTTTTTCCTGGAGGGTAGTAGTCTAAGTAACCCAGTGCCTTGGAATGTAGCCCTGGTGTTCTGCATAAGAGAATTTCCAGACAGATGCTGGTTGTTAATGAGCCACAATTTATTTTTTTGCCTTACCTGGGAAAGGCTGAATCTTTGAGAGGTGGGGGCTGCTGCTTTTTCCCACATCTCAGTGAAGAAGCACATTGGCCACAGTCCTTTGTGGCTGCAACTCAGCAAAAAGTCTGAGTGCCCTCCAAATCCCGGGTGTCCTCACAGAGTTCCAGTTCACTCTGCCCTCCCTCTGTTGTAGCCCCCAGGTGAGTGGCTGTGGCTATTTTAGTGCTCTTTCCTGGCTCTCTGGGCTGTAGAGAGGGCTTGGTCTTTATTCCCCAAGCATGTTCAGAGCTAAGACTGCTGCTGTCCCTGGGCTCCCAGCTCGCCACTCTCTAGTGCCTCTGCAGATCCTACCAGTGTCCCTGGTTATATGTCCCTGTCCTGTTGCTTTTTCATTGCTTTTTTCCAAGGATTTGTGTTTATTTCAGTTGTAATTCAGTATGGTCCAGGGAGATCCTCTGTGTAACTTCCATTCACTCTGCCTCCATTTTCACATCCTCTATGCTTATTTTGTGTGCAGCTGGGTCACACAGGCCTTTCTGGTGCTCCACACTCCGAAGCTCCCTCAGGTAACTGGATGGAACAGTCCCTTTGGGGACCTGGCTCTATGCCTATGTTATGGGCTGCTTGATTTCACAGGCCTCTCTGGTGCTTCTTCACCCCACAGGTCCTGTGGGTAACTGAATTGCTCAGTCCCTGCTGGGTTGCACAGGCCTGTTTGGTGCCCAGCACCCTGCAGGTCCCATGGGCAGGCAGCTGGATTGCAGCAGTCCCTCTCAGGCTCCAGCTTCCCACAGCTCTTTTGGGCTACTGGGTCACAGAGGCCTCTATGGTTCCCCATCACCCTGCAGGTTCTGTGTAGCTGGATTGCACCAGTCCCTCTAGGGCTCTGGCTTCTCACTGCTCTTGTGAGCTGCTGGACAGCACAGGCCTCTGTGCAGCCCCAGGTCCCACAGATGTCGGCTGGGGAGTGCTGCTGCCCTGTGGAGCTCAACTCCTGCTCAGCTCTTGCTGTAGTTTTTGGGGATGGGTCTCAGATGCTGGTCTGTGCTTCTGTTGCCTGGGGATGGATGTCTGCTCCCCAGCCTCTGTTGCTTGGGGTATATCTTGACATTGATTGGGCTGCTACTATTGTGGATGGTGCTGGACTCAGGTCTGTCCTCGGCTTCTGTGACTGACACCTTGGGAGCTCCACTACTGTGCACTGGTCTGTGTTGACAAACAGTGTTCACTGGTCTGATGGTGCCAGGTTCTCTGGTGGGCTCAGGTTGCGGGGCCCTAGCCACTCCCACTGCCTCCTCCCAGGGAATACCAGGGATCTTCCAAAATGGTGGGACCTCCCCTGTGCTGCAGGGAAAACCGCCCTGAAGAGCACTTACGAACATGCTTATGGAGGTAGCTGGCTGCTCAGGTCCACAGCACAGGAACCTTTTGCCTCGAGTCTCTGCACTGCAGGAGTTTGGTCACCCACCTTCACATCCACTCACACTCTCTCACTCACTAGCTCACTCTCTCACACACTCACTCTTTTTCCTGTCCTGCCCGATACCATTTTTCTGGGTCTCTATTCTTATTGGAATGAGAAATGTTAAGTATTTCACCATCTTTGAAATCAAAGGGCCACACCACAGACTGAGCGAGGCAGGAAAACATACTTATCTCTTATTTGTATAAATTAAGTAGTACTATATAGGATTAGAAAACCAATAAAATAGATTACTTTATACAAGGAACATATCTGTGTAACAGGAGTGTGAAAAGAAATCCAGAAAGGCACTAACCTGAAAGATCAGTCACTTTAAGTGTGAACAGTTGGTACTTGAAAAAATAAACACTATTCAACATGAGGCAACAGTTATTTTTAAGTACTGGCTTACTACTGCTACTGTAGCTTTACACCTATGACATATAAAAGGTGTCTGTGCCTAGGGAGTAAATGAATATTTACTCAGTGGTATTAAGAGTCACCTACAAGATCTTGGTCTTTGCTGTGACTGGATGTTATAACAGTAATATAAGCTTTGGAAACTAAGAGGGATTTGCTTAGGCAGTTATTGTATTATTTTTTTAATCCTCACCTAAGGATATTTTTCCATTTTTTGTTCAGATAGAGTAGGAGGGGGAGAGAGAGAGAGAGAGAGAGAGAGAGAGAGCGAGAGAGAGAGAGAGAGATGGACGTGAAAGGGACACATCGAGTGGTTGCCACCTGCACGACCCAATCAGGGCCAGGGACAAACAGCAACCGAGGTATGTGCCCTTAGTGGGAACCGAACCCGGGTCTCTCTGGACCACAGGCTGCTGCTCCCACCACTGAGCCAAAATGGCCAGGGCTGCTTATGCAGTTTTAAAGGGGTCATTACATCCCATGCCATATTCTTAGAACCTGAGGAAACCTACTTATATTGGAGTTTACACATTTCATTTCTTAAGGCAGCCAGCCTCACTCTCTCCATCAGATCAGCTTTTAGAAAATTAATTGAGTTGGAACTGCAATTAAAATCCCTGAAAGAAGCTCTTCTAGGATATTCCACTGCTCTACTGCAGAGACAGCAAAGAAAAAATAGCAATTCAAGTTCTGTACCTTATTTCACCTTCTCTAATATGACCTGCCAGTTCTTCAATAAACTTCTCCCCTTTCATCCAGTAGATCATTGGTCCAGACTCTCCACTAAATCCAAAGAATGCTTTGCAAGGGATGTTCAGAGGCTTACCTGAGAAATATAAATAAAAAGAAATTAACAACTGGTTCCTGGTTATTGCTGGGAGACAAAACAAAATCTTTTAACATCCAAAGGAAAACTCAGAGGTGACACATTTTCAACTCTTCTTCCAGTCATCTTACCACACATGAGGAAATTTTTAAATGTTACAAGAGCTTCTGGAAAATTTCAAAATTAAAGATTTATCAAAAGTGAGAAAGTCTAAAAGCTCAGTTTGAACAACTTATTTTTACTACCTCCATCTTTGGAACTAATATAAAAAAATCAAATGGAAGGAATCCCCTTTTATTTTTTCTTTGTTGAGAGAATTAATCACTGTTTATTTGAAATTGCATTAAAAACTACATTAATCCAAAGTATAAGTTAATTTTGACTGGTAAGAAAATGTATAATACACTATCTACTAATATTAGTATTGCATAGAGAAAATTGTTTATTATAATTTATTCCAAAAAATGGATAATACAAACCAAAGGGAGAATTTTTTTTAATTACAGAAACATCTATAAAAAGTATATGCAGCCTGGCCGGTGTGACTCAGTGGTTGAGTGTTGACATATGCACTAAAGTTTCCAGTTTGATTCCTGGTCAAGGTACATGGCCAGGTTGTGGGCCAAATCCCCAGTGGGGAGCATGCAGCAGGTGGCCAATTGATGTTCTCACTCATTGATGTTTCTATCTCTCTCTCTCTCTCCCTTTCTCTCTCTCTAAAATCAATAAAGAAAAAAAAAATTTTTAAGTATATGCAAGCTGCCCTGGCCATTTTTGGTCAATGGTTAGAGCTATAGCCCATGGACCAAAGCATTACGGGTTTAATTTCTGTTAAGGACATATACCTGGTTTGCATGTTTGATCTCCGGCCCTGGTCGGGATTGTGTGTGGGAGGCAACCAGTCAATGTGTCTCCCTGACATTGATGTTTCTCTCTGTTTCCCTCCCTCCCTTCCACTCTCTATGAAAATCAATAAAAAATATTCACCCAAAATAGTATATGCAGAGAAATCTCAGTCTAATCATATCTAAATAATTAAAGACAACACCTAAACACTTTTTTATTATTTATCTTTGTGATTATAGCCAAATTTTTTTAAATTGTAAATTTATTATCAAACATATAAGCAATTATTTTGGGGGAGGCATTGATTTTATTGTGTTCTTGCAAAGTAGATTAGTCAGATAAGAATGGCATAGAAAGCACAATAATGACAGTTAAGATAAAGGGATCCCCTGAATCAAAAATCATAATATAGCATGTCATTTTCTCTGTAACATGTAATTTTTTTGCCCTGAATGAAGCACTAGATAAAGCAATTTCAAAAATAATTTTTTCCTTGTAGAGTACGTAGTAGTCTTGTTCCCATATATGCTCTGAGTTGTGGATATTTTTTCCATTCTATTCTTAAACTGATCCACAATTTCCATGTTCTAAAAATCATTACTTTCTCTGGGATCCTTTCTGTTCCATCACCATAACCAGCAGAGGATTTTGTTTGAGGACCATTTTCACAAAGAAACAATGTTAATGGGAGTTAGGGTCCACATAAGACAGAGTGGAAATTAAGAAAACCTCATAGACACATGGTCACTGGTGAGAGGCTGGACTTAACCACAATAAATTATTTGTTGCCAAATATTGGTTCTATAGTGCAAATTTATATCTCAGAAAAAATGACATGTTTTTGGATGTTTTAATTATTGTCAAAACCTTTGGTATCAACAGTTTGTTGTATAAGTCAAACACAAATCTGAAAGAATATCATTCACTGTCGTTTTGAACTTGCGTTCTGTGATATAAACGTGTAAAAATGAAAGGCAACCATGTACATTGGAAAATGCATTGGACTAAGAGGAGACTTGGATCCTGGTTTTAGATCTATATTGATAAAACTGATAATCTGGACCTGACCATATTACCTAACATTTTATAATCTGATCTTTCATATATGTAATATCAGGGTCTTTTCTATGCATTACTGTAGCTCATCATTTCCATGAAATTGAAGGTGTTAAGGAATGTCAAACCACATAGCAGAAACTCCAGAGAATGCGATAAACATTATTTAAAAAAATCCCAGTTGCTAAAACTACCAGCATATACATTTATACATATAAATTCTGACTGTTATTTTTTTCAGCTATGTTGAAAGATTATATCAAATAAAATACTTTTCAGTGTCTTCCCTATCCTTGGCACTACACAATGGGTAATGAGTATTGCTGCAATTTCTCCTGGGAATGTTTTTACTCTCCCATCAGACAGGTTCTTGTTAAATAAACACAAAAGACAAATATTTCAGTGGTCTACGTTCTACAAATGCTGAATAAATATCCTGAAGCCTTTTGTTGACAGCCAAAACAGAAAAAAACATTCAACTATCATACGTAATACTCTGAGGAGTGTTTCAAAATGGTCAGCTCTTGTGCCAAATAGTGAGACTTGATGTTTGCCAGAAAGTGGGCATCTCCTCTTCCAAAAGTCAAGTGAAGGAACTCTGCATTGATTAGACAAATAACATGAAACAGAATCTATCCAGGCATCTCTAAAATATGGGTTATGTGCATGTGAAAACTCTATCTATCATTTGCATCTGTTTGCTACTGTATTGTTTTGCCTACAGACACTTAAAAAGTCATCCCTATGTTACTTAATATCCATTCCTCTAGTAGAGATGACCAACTCAGGTTTGTATCTAAAGGAGACAGTATAGTACTTTGAAGACTATCAAAATAAAAAAGAATATTGTGAGTTTCTCAATTTAGTATGCTTTTCAGAGTAATGGCTTCAGATGTGACTCCTTTTTAGGTTCAAACTGTATTACTAATATTTTCTCTATCACATTGTAAGGTCTAGAGTCTAGACAGTCAACAAAACATATGTCCGTAAAAAGACTTGCACATGAATGTTCATAGCAGTTTTATTTTTAATAGTCAGAAACTGGAAGCAGTCCAAATAGTCATCATCAACATGTGAAGAGATAATCTCAGCTACATCCATATAAATTTTTGAGATTTGAAAAATTATGCTAAGTGGAAGAATATAGAAAAGAGTACATGTTTTATGATTATTTTTATATGAAATTATAGGAAGTTAAAATTAATCAACAGTTTCTTAAAAAATTAAACATGCATATGCCATGTGATCCAGAAATTCTATATCAAAGTCTATCTCCATAATAAAACTTATACAAAAATATTCATATTACCTTTATTTGTTTTTACTGAGGTAAAATGAACATATAACTTTATATTAGTTTTGGATATATAACGTCATGATTTGATATTTGCATATATTGTAAAATGAATACCACAATAAGTTTAGTTGACATTCATCACCATACTTAGTTGCAATTTTTTCCTGTGATGAGGACTTTTAAGATTTTCTCTAAACAACGTTCAAATATGCAATACAGTATTATGAACTATAGTCACCATTCTGTACATTACATTCCAATGACATATTTCTTTTATACCTATTGACCTCCTTCACCCTTTTTGCCCAATCGCTACCCACACTTCTGACAACAAAAATTGTGATTTTGTATTTAATGAGGTTTTTGTTAACATTCCACATATAAGTGAAATTATATGATTTAGACAGAGTTATTTCACTTAGCCTAATGCTGTCAAGTACCATCCATCTTTATCTATTCATCTATTGATGAACACTTAGGTTGTTTCTATATCTTGGCTATTATAAATAATGCTGCAATAAACATGGGAGTGCATATATCTTTTTTGAGTTACTGTTTTAGTTTTCATTGGATACATACCCAGAAATACAATTGTTGGATCATATGGTAGTTCTATTTTTAATTTTTTGAGGAACCTCCATATTGTTCTCCTTAGTGGCTACACCAATTTACATCCCAACAGTGCACAAGGGTTACCTCTTCACTATGTTCTCAATAACACTTGTTATTTCTTGTCTTTTTGTAATAACTATTCTAACTGGTGTGAGGTGATATCTCCTTGTGCTTTTCATTTGCATTTCCCCACAGATTAATAACGTTAAACATGTTTTCATGGGCATGTTGGTCATCTAAAATGTCTTCTTTGGAAAAATGTCTTTTCAGATTTTTAATCAGATATTTGTTCTTTTGTTATTGAGTTGTATACCTTCTTTATATTTTGGATATTAACCCCTTAACATTTATATGATTTGCAAATATTTTATCCCATTCAGTAGATTGCCTTTTTCTTTTTCAATAATTTTCTTTGTTATGCAAGAGCTTTATTAATTAGATGTAGTCCTACTTGTTTATTTTTTTGCTTTTGTTGCCTTTGATTTTGAAGTCATATTTTTAAAAAAGCATTGCCAAAACTGATGTCAAGGAGCTTACTGCCTAGGTTTTCTTCTATGAGTTTTACAGTTTCAAGTTTTACATTCAAATCTTTAATCCATTATATGTTAATTTTTGCATATGTGTTAAGAGAGTGGTACAGATTTACTTTTTTGCATGTAGCATTATTTATTTAAGAAACATTATTTATTTAAGAAACTGTCCTTTCTCCATTGCATTATTCATTGTTCTTTTATCATAAGTTAATTGACCGTATACATATGGTTTATTTCTTGGATCTTTATTCTGTTACATTAATTAGGTGTCAATTTTTATGCAAATGTCATAATGTTGTATTTATTTATTTAATTTTTTCTTTTTTAAAATTAATTAATTTATTTTTGTTACAGATGTATCTCCTTTTTCCCCTACTGATACCCCACTCCCCCTCCCTACCCACCCTGTCCCCAACTTTGTTGTCCATTTACATTGTTCATGCATACATGCATATAAGTTCTATGCTTTATCCCTCCCCCCACCCACTCTTCTGGGGAATGTCAGTCTGTACCCCACTTCCACGTCTCTGGGACTACCTAGTTCCTCAGACTGTTATGTTCATTATATTCCACAAATAAATGAGATCATGTGATATTTGTCTTTCTCTGCTTGGTTTGTTTCGCTTAGGATAGTACTCTCCAGTTCCCTTCATGTC